CGTCCTCTGGCCCCTGCTTGGGTGCCCCCTCTTGGGCAGAGCTGGGGTCCAAAGCTCCCATCTCTCTACAACCACTGGCCATGCAAGATCCCAGCTTGGTTCCTTCACCCAGCTGATACGGGCCACATGCTCTGGGCTGCCAGGTGAGGGACTTCCAGGAGCCAGAGAAGTTGCCACGCCATGGGGATAACATCTACCACCCCCATCTTGCCCCACAATGAGGCCTGTGTCCACCTGCCTTTCCCACACAGGAAGTCCGCCCAGCCGGCGGGAGCCCACGTACGCTGTGCTGGAAGCAAAATCCCAGGAAGAAACAGACATGTCCGATTACTCATTCCCCTCCTCAGCCCCCTCGCCCAGCCCAACCCTCATGGAGTGTGGATCTGTAGGCTCGGCAGAGAGGGCCCTCCACACACTACCCCCTTCAACCCTGCCTGCCCAAACCCCTGCCCCAGGAGACAGCACTAGTCGGGCAGGGCTGGCCCACAGAGAAGGTGCCAGGAGCAGAGAAACCATCGTCATCAGTTCATTAGCTGTGCAGATGGAAGGCCGGACCCAGGACTCCTGGCCCATCTGCTCTGTCCTCGGCTGCACATTGAGACCAAAGGCCATGCTGCTGTGTCTCCTCCTAGGGGGCTGCCAAGCCCTCGGCCCCAGAAGATGAGCACATGGAGGGTGAACTCGCAGACACTCCTACTGCTGCCATCCACTCCCTCCTAAGACTAGGGTTCTTCCTTCACCAGCTATAGACCCCAGGCATGTATGGTCCCCATGAAACATGGGGCCTTGAGGCCACTTGGCAGGAGCTAGTCACTGCCAGCCAGCAGGCAGGCGTCCTAAGCCCAGTAACCAGCCGAGGTCACTCCATGAAACTCTCTGCAGGCCAGGCAGACCAGAACATGGTGGGCCAGGCCCTTCACAGAGGCAATCCACCCATGGAAGGCCTGTCCCACCCTAGGTGATCAGGGAGTGTGTGCACCCAGGTCCACCTGAACATGCAGCGTGTTACTCCCATGAGGGCAGAGCAGGTGTCTGTATTGGCAGCCCTGTCTACACCTACCATGCTGCACTCCATTCATAAAGGGCATCTCAGAGAAGGGAGGAGAGAAGTGTCAGGCAACCCTGGAACAGCCACTTGGGCCAGGCGTGGTGTGAGCACTTAGCAGACACAAGCCCTGTGAGTGCTCACAACTACCCTACAGAGGCAGTCCCACACTATCCCTCTGGTCCACAAAGGCTCAGAGAAGGTTAGTGCCTTGTGCAAGATCACACAGCTCATCAGACACCCTGCCCTGTCCCCAGTCTACCTGGCATGTCTCCCCATGAACACCAAGGCTTCCCCAGTCCTCCCTGGCATCCACACCAATCAAGGGCTGAACAAGTCTAGTCCAGAAAAACTAGAACCCAAACAAACCACCAGAAGGCAAGCACCTAGTCTCCTTGAAAACCCTTAATCAGCCCTTAATCAGGAAGTTCTTCCTGCTGTCCAGCCCAAGTCACTCATAACATAGCCACAGCCGCTGGTGCCCCCATGCTTGGCCTTTCCCCACCTCCGACCCAGAGCTAGAACTGCAGTGGGGAAGACAGAGACCTGTCCCAGAGAAGCTATGGCCCACCCTAGTGGAAGATGCCTGCTTAGGAAGCCCTGTGGACAGGATGGTCCCTGCTATGTCCAAGTTCTTTGCCGTGGGTACACCTAAGTAGCCTGGAGGGCTCTTACCTCCTCTGCTGTCTTGAGCTCTCTGCCCAAGAGAGTGCACTGCCCCCAGGTCAAAAACGTGTGACAGTTCAAAGCAAGAAATCTCCAGCCCCAAGTGTCAGGGCTGGGAGGGGGCGAGCCAGCCTTTGATTCCAAGGAACCTTCAGGACCTCAGCAAATGACAGCAGACACCTCAGGAGAGCAGCAGCTGCCCTGTCCATGGTGCTGACCGAGCTCAGGACGCCTCCACCATCCTGGCTGAGGTGGTGTTGGACCAGGAAAATCCCCATTGCCCCAGCAGTCCCCTATATCCCCCAGACCTGCTGCCTGCAGGCAGCGGGTGTCCGCCAAGGCAGACTGGAGGGCAGAGGACTATGCTGGCATGGTCGGGAGCACCTCCTCTGGTCGCCCGCCAGGACTGTCTGAACCCTGTTCAGTAAGCAGGCCCTCTCCCTTCAAGATGCCAGCACAGGAGATGATGATGGGGAGAGGAGGGGAGTGCAGGTGTTGGTGGGAATGGGGTCATCAGACTACGCTCCCAGAGACACTACAGGGAGGGGATCAGTGGCCATTGACAAAGGGCCAGTGGGTCACCAATGGACAACTCTGGCCCTGGACTCCCCACAGGGATGGTCATAGCCCCCTTCTTCAGGCCCCCGCCTGTCCCACTTACCTTGGTCTCGGCTGAGCTCCCCGGGGGGCCCAGGCTCTTCCATGGCCGGCAGGCGCCAACCCTACTGTTACCGGCACGGCCCAAGGGGGCCTGGGCCCTGCACTGGCCCCCAGTGTCCCCTGAATCCCACTCGAAGCCGGGGCGTCCCGCGCAAGGTGCCCATGCCCGGTCAAAGCCCGCCGCCTGCACGCTGCTGCTTCTGCTCAAGGGAGGAGAGAGAAGGGGCGGGGCCAGGCCAACGCTGCTGCCACTGGGACCGCCCCTCTCAGGGGAGCCGCGCCCATTCTTAACCCTCGGCTGCCTGGCTCCCAGGACCACCTCCGCGCTGTGGGTGGGAAACTGTGCACCCAGGCAGGAATCTCAGGTGGGGCCTGAGCAGGCCCTGCCCAGAGGCCAGCAGAGGAGGCAGCACCAGCCACTGCCCCTCTCACAGCAGCTCCGGCAGTCACTCACCCTCCACCTTCCTCCCCTCCCTCCCGCCGGCGCCCCGCCTACCAGAGGTAGCTGCAGCCCCCAGGGCAGGAGCCAGATGACTCTTGGCTGCCAGCCCCTGGTGACCACAGAGTCCCTCTGACCATTCGCACCCAGGTCCCACGACCTGGATCTAGGACAAGTCCTCACACCTCAGCAGGGCTCCAAGAAGGGCTGAGCACTTGTGGGTGGCTGAGGTGACATTTCACTGCTGCCATGGTCGGGCAAGTGTGTCCTGTTCTTTGCGCATCCTCATGGCCCCCACATGAGTTCATAGCTCCTGGCTCTGCTGGGCCTGTGGGGTCTTGGGGATGGTGAGGGCTGTTGGGGAGGCTGGAGAATGGCCCCCTGCAGCATGCCTGCCCTGGATCAGGGTCCTGGTGAGCAAGCTGAGGGCAGAGTCTGTCCTGGGCTGAGCTGCCCCCACCCCGGAGCCCATCTCCTCTGCCCGAGCCAGAAAGCTCTGCCTCCTTCTGGATACGTGGCTTTTGTTTTATTTTGTTTTAGAATTATTTTACTTACTTACTTACTTACTTATTTATTTTAATTTGACCAGAGAGACACAGACTGAGAAGGAAAATGAGGAAACATGCCTCCAGGTCCAGGACTCGAACCGTGGTCTGCCACATGAGAGTCCAACGCCTTAACCACCATGCCACCTGCCAGGCCCACTTCGGAATGTTTTAAATTGTGGCATCTAAAGGAAATAACTATTTCCAGATCAACAAAATATTTCCATCTGTGAGTGATATTTTGAAAGATGCTACTTCTGCCCACAACTCCATTGACTCCCAAATCCCAGAGGGAGGCCTCTCAAAGGGAGGCCTGGGGATATTCATGGGGGTACTGGAGCCCTGAGTTTGGGAAGGCAGGCAGGCAGACAGGTCTGAGCAAGAGGACATGGGGCCACTCCTGGGCTCTCTCAGCTGTTGCTCCCTCAAAGCGAGACTGACTCCAGACAGGCAAGCCCCCAGGTGTGGAAGGGGAGGGCAGCCACCATCAACCACCGTCTGGATCCTGCCCAGGGAAAGCCCCTGGGCCAAGCCTCCTGGTACCCTTAAAGGAGCAGCCTTCCTCTCTTGGCTGCTGTGCATGGTACCCTGCTCCTCCGTTGGAGAGGACACCACCCTGGGCTCTGGGAACCCACCTGCATGCATGGACACTGTCTCGCAGTCATACTCAGCACAGAAAGGGCCCCTGGGCTTGTGTCCACCCCACTGAGCAGTCACAGGAAGGAAGGACAGCACCCTCCCTCTGGTCTGAGTGGAGGTCCTCACTGTCCATGCAGCAGCGGGCCCTGGAGCTGAGTTCAGTGGGGTCTGCGGGCCAGAGAAAGGGGGACAGCCCAAGCCACAGCTCACAGTATAAAGGTGCACGAGGGGCCAGAGAGTAACAGGAGAGGGGTGTTCTCAGCATCCCCTCACACCTGGGCTTTGTGCATCCCTGGGAAGTCCCCTCCAGGAACAGACCAGCAGCCCCAAATCTCAGAAAAGGAGAAACTGAGGCAGAGAGAGAGATAAAGAAGGGAGAGGAGACAGAAGGTAAAAACCAAGGACAGGCGGGGGAGTGGCAATGAGGGTGAAAAGGAAGTGTGGGCCAGGGGTCCCTGAGGAGGGAGGCTCAAGACCCAGCCCAACCTCATCCCCCTGGAGTGAACAAAAGACCCCTGGGCTGCCACCCTCCCCCCCAGAAGAAGCAGGTGAAACTCAAGTCAGGTTCTAATGAATAATCCATCAGCTTTGCCAGCCCCGCCCTCCGCACTCAGCCCAGGAGATGATTTCCGTTACCGAGGCCTGCGATTAAAGTCGGTGATTAAAAGCCGCCTGCCGCACATGTTAATTTGCTTAAGATTCTGATCTCCTAAATCTCCTTTCTGGGCATTTAAGCAGAATTCCGTTTTCGTTAGCATTTGGCCTGGCTGCCAGCAGGGTGGGGAGGTTCTATAGTACAAGAGGAGCCGGCCGGGCCCCAGGAGTTTAATTTTCTTCTCCTTTGAAGACAGCATCAGGAATAAACATGTGCTGTCAGGTGCTGGAGCCAGTCGTGGGCACCTGCCTGGGCCCTCTCCTCTCAGGGATGGGCTCCATGTGCTCAGATGAGGACCCCCGGGATCCTCACACCCTGCCGCTCTGACTGCTCTCCCAGGCTCTGCCTCTCCCACCCACACACGAGCACTCCTGTGTCAGCCAGGGGCGGGGAGCTCAGGCTGCAGAAGGGCAGTGTGGCCTTGTGGGGGGATCTGGAAGGGCAGAGGCAGGGTTGAGGGCCTGGGGAACATGTAAATACACATGCAGTGTTTCCACTGCACAGCAAGGAAACTGGGGCACAGAGGTGTGACAAGTCGGCCTATCTATAGGCCTACCCAAGAGCCCACGTCAGAACATCGAGCCCTCCAGCCTCTCTCTAGACAGTGCTTGGAAACCAAAGGATGAACCCTACTGGACCTCACTGGGGCCCGATTCAGCCTTAGGTAGGTCCCTGTCCCCAGTCCTAGCCAATGGGGGTCAGAGAAAACAAGGTTCTGGGCCCATGGGGTTGAGGGAAGTTCCCCCTCCCATAACTACAGGATCTAGGTAGAAAGCTGATCCTCCCCATCCTGCATCAAAAGCCCTCCCATCTCGGATCTCCAAAGAAAACTGTTTAGATAGTAGGGATGCCAAAAGACAGGGCAAGACCAGAGACCTCTGCCAGGATTAGGCCAAGGCTTCTCCTGTCTTCGGGGAACTCCCAAAGGCATGTGTGTGTGCACTTGTGTGTGCCCTGGGGCACAGTTGGAATATTCCCTGCACAAGCCTGCGTGAGGATGAACAATCCTGGCTCAGCACATGATATTACGTTTGAACAGGGGAAAACAACCTAAAGAGCCAGGGATGGAATCACTGAGACTCAGCATCAGATGGAGGAGCAGATTAGGGACGGGAAAAGCTTCATGAAGCACTCACTCACCTGCTAAGCCCCATGGACAGAGAACTCCCCGGGCAGCCTGCAGCCCAGTTGATCTAAACCACAGAGCCCTCTGCTGGCCAGAAGGCAGCACTGCAGTCAGGGGTTGTCTAGTCACCCCTGCCTCCCACAAGTGGTTCCTGTGAGGAACCCACGGCACACGAGCCCAGCACTGAGTCCTCTGGGGCTGATGGCCAACCAGGGGTTACCCGAGCATGTTCCAAAGGAGGAGAAGGGGCTGCAAATGTCTATTTTCATAAACAGAAGCCGAGATCAGTCACTATAGGGCAGTGCCCCGGCCAGGGCGTCACAAGATCCTAGACAAGTCCTGGTTCTGTTGGGTCTGTGTGACATCACTGTCTCTCTGATCTCAGTCTCCCCACCTGTAAGTGAGGGAGCATCACCAGTTCCCCAAGGGTCTAGCCAACCTGCAGCCTCAAGTTGAAGCCATAGAGGAAGAGGGCTTCCAGGTGGAAGGGTGCTCTTGGCGGAGGGTGGGAGTTGCTTGGGGCCAGACATTCTTGCACCAGGTGCACCAGACTGCAAGGAGGAGCCTAAGAGCACTGTTCCAGGGGCAAGGCCCTGACAGGAACCTGGGCAGCAACAGCCACTTTCCAGAAGCCTCACGAGCAGGAGACCGTGCGAAATCGCCTCCCCAGCAGTGGAGCGAAGCTACTTACATCCTCAGAAACCTTCATGGGCCGCCTCAGATTTCGGCTTCTGTCCTACATAAATCTCCAAGGAAACGCTTCCCAATGACCTGCTACAGTAAACTGAGATTCACGGCTACAGCCCGGTTCTGCAAACTGCGGTCTACCCATTGGCACAGCGAGCACCTGGGGGGCATAGCGAGGGACACAGATCTCCTGGATTCTGCTCCTCCAAGGCACCTCAGAATGCCTGGGTGACCAGAGGTCACCAATTCCCACCGCTTTGCTTCATAGATAAGGAAACCAAGGCAGAAGAGTTCCAGAAGCGAGGGTGGGGGAGCACCTGGGAAGATGGCCCTGAGAAACTAGGAGCCAAGTAAACATCAGCACTGGTCAGAAACATGGGGTGCCCAGCAGTGGACCAAGGAAACCCCAACACAGAGGCCGTGGGTGGGGAGGGCTCTTGTCTAAGGCACAGGTCTCATGGCCAGGCAGGGGCAGAGCCCAGACCCTGCAACTCCTCCTCCAGTGTGGGCTAGGCCCCAGCGGCTACACTGGCCCTGGTCCCTGGAGGGTGTGCACCATGACCGGCTCCAGCCAGCACACAAGATAACATAATCACCTCTCAAAAGTGCCAAGTGCATGTTTAAAGACAAATGCAGGCCCCTTTGGTGACGAGACGGTGCTGACAGCCCTGCCGCTGGGAGACACGGCCCAGCAACCCATGCCTGAGATGTTTTATTAATTATTCAACACTGAAGCCAATTTAATGCTCTTTCTTGCCTGGTGTAAGAGTTCTGTCCATATTACAGCTTCTGTTAAGAAACAAAGCTGCTCTGGAGGGCTTTGCAGGTGGCCAGACCCACCCCAACCACCCCTGTCACATTCAACACTCCAGAACAGGCGAGCAACCTCCTTCCTAGGAAGCAGCTGCTGGGGAGAGGCGAGGGGTTTACAGGTAAGACAGGAGATGCTGGTCTTGGGGGATGCTCCTTCCCTCTGGCATCTCCCTGCTATGTTCTCCATACAAGAACCTCCCAGGGACCAGCAGGTGGCATGGTGGCTAAGGCGCTGGACACTCCCACATGGCCGACTGCAGTTCAAATACTGGACCTGGTGGCTTGCTT